ATACCTATATCTATATATTTATTCAATTTATAAATATATAGGGCTTTGTTATAATGGCTTACAGGCTGTGGTCCAGCTAGTCCAACAACTGCTGTCTAACAACTGAAGGTCCAAGAATCCAGTATTTGTTTAGTCCACGAGGCTGGATGTCTCAGCTAGTCTTCAGCAAACACTGAAATCCTGGAGAAGTAGGCTCTAATACCAGTGAAAGAACGGGCTCGCCAGCAAGAAAGAGAGCAAGCAGTCAAAGATCAAAAGCTTCCTGCTTCCCCGTCCTTTATATAGGCTGCCAACAGAAAGTGTGGCCCAGATTAAAGATGGATTTTCCCATCTCAGAAGATCTGGATTAAATCTATGTCTTCCAGTCTCAATAGATATGGATTAAGCCAGGCAGTGGTGGCACACGCCTTTAATCCCAGCACTCAGGAGGCAGAGGCAGGCAGATCTCTACATTCTAGGCCAGCCTGATCTACAAAGTGAGTTCCAGGACAACCGAGACTACACAAAGAAACCTTGTGTTTAAAGCCTGGGTTAAAAGTGGCTCTTCACACTTTGAATGACTTTATTAGGAAAAAAATTCCTCACTGGTGTACCCAAGCCACTAACTCGGGTTTTAGTTCATTCCAGATGCAGTCAAGTTGACAATCAAGGAGAGCCATCACACTGACCCAATGACCTGTGGCCGATAATAGGCTGATTGTTTCAAGGTGGCGTGGTGGCATGCTTTTCTCACCAGCCATTGGAAGAGGAGGCAGAGGAACTCTAAGTCTGAGGCTATGGTGTGAGATTCTATCTCAAAAACAACGGGAAAATTAGCTCAGTGGTTAAAAGCATGGGCACATACAGGCGAGGGTATGAGTGCATGTTGGAGACAGGCAGAGATCCATGTCAGGTGCCTTCTCCAGTTGCTTTTCTACTTTTTTTTTTGGTTTTTCGAGACAGGGATTCTCTGTGTAGCTTTGGATCCTGTTGTAGAACTCCCTCTGTAGACCAGACTGGCCTGGAACTCACAGAGATCCGCCTGCCTCTGCCTCCCAAGTGCTGGGATTAAAGGCGTGTACCATCACACCTGGCTCATCTACCTTTTTTTTTTTTTTTTTGGTTTTACGAGACAGGGTTTCTCTGTATTGTTTTGGAGGCTGTCTGTCCAGCCCAGCCTCGAACTCACAGCGATCCGCCTGCCTCTGCCTCCCGAGTGCTGGGATTAAAGGCGGGCGCCACCACCGCCCGGCCTCATCCACCTTTTATTATTATTTTAAAATACGCATCCTTTCCATCTGTGTGGGTATGTGCACATGAGTGCAGAGGCTGACAGAGGCCCGGGGTGTCAGATGCTCCTGGAGCTGGAGTAACAGGTGATTGTCAGCCACCTGATGTGGGTGTGGGGTTGAACTCCAGTCCTCTGAAAGAGCAGCATGTGCATTTAACCTCTAAGCCATCTCTCCAGCTCCACTGTTCGCCTTTTAAAAAAAAGATTTATTTATTTATTTATTGTGTATACAGTGTTCTGTCTGCATGTGTGCCCAAAGGCTGGAAGAGAGCATCAGATCTCATGACAGATGGTTGTGAGTCACCATCTGGTTTCTGGGAATTGAACTCAGGACCTCTGGAAGAACAAGCAGCCAGAGCTCTTAACCTCTGAGACTTCTCTCCAGCCCCTACTTTGCTGCTTTTCTTAGGAAAAAAATTTTAGGGTGTTTTTTACCTGCATGTATGTCTGTACAACATGTTCATGCTTGGTACTTGTTTTGGCTAGAACAGGGTGTTGGATCCCCTGGAACTGGAGTTGCAGACAGTTGTGAGCTGCCAGGTGGGTTCTGAGAATCCTGTAGAAGAGAAGTCATTGATCTTAACCACAGAGCCGTCTCTCCAGCCCCTCTACCATTGCGTTTATTTATCGTGTGTGTGTGTGTGTGTGTGTGTGTGTGTGTGTGTGTGTGTGTGTATGTGCCACGACATGCATGCGGCAATCAGAAGACAATTTTATTTTTCCAAGATTCATTGATTTTATGCTATGTGTATGAGCATTTGCCTGGATATAAACATGGGCATCACATGTGTGCCTGGTGCCTGTGGAAGTCAGAAGGGGGCGGCAGATCCCTTGGAACTGGTTTTACATATGATTGTGAGCTGCCATGTGGGTGCTGGAAATTGAACCCAGGTCCTCTGCAAGAACAGCCAGTGTTCTTAACCACTGCGTCATCTCCCTAGCCCCTCCATCTTGTTTCACTGCTTGACCTGACGCTTGCTGCGTAAACCAGACTGGCTTTAAACTCAGAGGTCAGCATGCCTCTGCCTCTGTCTCTGCCTCCTGAGTGCTGGAAATAGCGACACACTCCACCATACCCAGCTCTTGTACTAGCTTTTACCCAGGTGCTGGGGATCTGAATTAAGGTCCTCAGGCTCGCCCTGTCGGTATTTTAGTGGCTGAGCCATCTCCTCAGCACTGAGGCTTACATTTAAACAAGGGTATGTGTAGCTAAGCAGTCCCGATCAAGGCATGGTCCCTGCCCATCACTGATCCACCGTTTTCTCAGATCCAGTTTCTTCTGCAGTGTGACCAGATAAGTTGTCAGAACTGTGTGAAATCCATTTCTTGGGAGACAAGATCCCCCTCTGGCTAGCACTAGGTTCTAAATTTTTCTTTCTTCTAGCATGGGGTTCCTGGTGGGACTCTAACTTCTCAGGCCCCATTGTTTAATCAGTCTGATAGTCAAAAAAGGGGTCACAAGTCTCCTTAAAATGTCTTCTTTTAGCTGGGTGCAGGGGTGCAGACCGTTAATCCCAGCACTCAGGAGGCAGTGGCAGGCAGATCTCTATGGGTTTGAGGCCAGCTTGGTCTACAGAGCAAGTTCCAGGACAGCCAGAGTCACACAGAGAAACCAGTCTCAAAAACAAAAATAAAACAAAACAAAAACTTCATTCCTGATGGATGATAGTTAGAGGTCACAGGGCAAGGAGTGGGTTTGCATTGGCAGAGATGTTCCAAGTTGCCCAAGGTTTTTGGAGAGGGGCCTGGCTGTCCAGAAAAGAAGGGGAGACTGTAGGAGTGGTTAGGGCTCCTCAGTGGTCCTGATGTAGGAGGTTAGCTTCTCTTTCAGTGGAAAGGATAAATCCCAGGCCCTCAACGAGATGCTGGCATGTAAGTCTGGATTTCTTGAATTCTTTCCTCATCCTCAGGTGTCCTCATTTCTCATGTGCCTGAATGGTATGCTAGGGCAGTCCTGACATCTGCCCTTTCCATGCCAGAGCTTCCTAGGTACTGTGGCCCTGCTATGAGGACTCCTGGCAGGGCCTGTCTTGGCATGCCATATGGAACCGCACGCGATAAGGAGCTCCAGCAGAGATGAGAGGGAAGGAAGGCTTTGCAGGCATTGAAGCTCTGCACATCAGAGAGGGAGAGTGACTGTGGGTAACACAGGCTGAGCTGGAGACACTAGGCCTATGCAGGGAGCCACAGAACAAACTCCGGGGACACAGTCCACTGTCAGGCCCAGCAATGTGAGGCCCAGGCTGGCAGATGGGGACAGCTGCTTCCTGCCACTGGGGCAGTTAGACCGCAGCAGCTGCAGGTCTTCTCCGTGTTGCTTCCCAGTACCCTTACCTAGGTTCTGGGGCCCCTCTGTCCCAACCTTCCCCAAGCACGTCCTCACCAGGACTCAGAGATTGGTCTGGGCCACATTGTCAATAGGGCCTAGCAGAGTAAACAGGCCTTTCAGTTTTTGTTTGTTTTGTTTTGAGTTAGGGTCTCTTATGTGGCCCCAGCTGTCCTGGAACTTGCTGTGTAGACCAGGCTGGCTTCAAACTCACAGAGATCTGCCTGCCTTTGCTTCCTGAGTGCTGGGATTAAAGGCATGGGCCACATCACTAGCTCATATTTTTTAATCTAAATTTTATTTATTGTTATTGTGTGTATGTGTGTGTATGGTATGTTTGTGTGGGCATGCATGCCATGGCACACATGTGTAGGTCAGAGGATAACTTTGTAGAGTTGGGTTCTTTCCTTCCATTTTTATGTGTCTGGAGATTAAACAGGTCACCAGGCTTTGCTGTGCAAACTCCTTCACCCACTGGGCCATCTTGCTGGCCCTAACCTTTGGTTGCTATTGCAGCCCTGGGGTGACAGTAAGAAAGACCCCAAACTGTGGGCATTGGGAGGCATCAGGAGGCATGTTCCTGAGGCTGAAGCCCAGCTCTCATCTGGAACTTCCCTCAGTGCCATGGTGTTTACACACATCCTTCAGTTTGCCCACAAATATTTATTAGACATTCCTGGGCCTGTTGGCAACAAGGAGGCTGGCCATCATGGAGAAAACTTACTAAGGTGCCTGGTTTTGGGCTCCCAATCCTAATTCTACTGCCTTGGAATATCTATCTATCCATCCATCTGTGTGTGTATACACACATACACACAAGCAATTGCACACACACATGTATATGTAAATACACACACACACACACAGACACACACACCCCGTCTCAGGACCATGTTGGTCCCAAAGAAAGATCTGGAATTTTGTCCTTGTCCCAGTATCTTGGCAGCCTTCCCAGGCACTCAGCACTGGGAAGAAAACATGGTCAGATCTTGGGGCTTCCACAGAGGTAGGAAGCTTACAGCAGTTATCCTGAAGGAGACTTTGGGCCCTAGTCTCCATGTAGAGGGAGGTGTCCAAAGCAGGTCAAATCCAGAGGCCATTGTAGGAGGCCTTCAGCATTCCTGACTGCGGAGCATGTCATTGATGGATCAATAGAAAAGTAGAATTCTGACGTTTAGAGCTAGGACCAGTCTCATCTCCAAAATAAGGCAGGAGCAGTTTGTGCCTCACTAGTGGAACTTTCAGACAGGCGTGGAGACTGTCTATTCAGCCTCCAGCCGCCAGGGGGCGGTGCACACACTGTGCACGCTCTGCGGGCCTCTCTTGTCTCTTCCTCTTGCCCACCTTCGGGTCTGTTTTACTTCCGGTTATGTGAAAAAAAAATCAGCGCTGAGTGTGAGCACTGATCAGTTTCCACTTCCGGGGTGGCCCTGCTGCAGTCTTGCAGTATGATGTACAGGAGGTGAGAGGTCTGTGCACTCAAGTGAACTCCGCTCCCTGCGGTGACATCGGTCTCCGCGTCCGGCCGCGTGTGCACCGCACTCGGCCCCATTCTGTGACCCCGGCGGGAGGCCCTGGGCACTCGGCCCAGTGGCCACGGCGCGAGGGATGAATGACTGAGCGAGCGAGTGACTCCCGTCGCCTCCTCCCAGGTGACGGCGCTTCGGCGAGGGGCGCCAGGGCCGCGGGCAGGATGAACCGAGCCAAGCCCACCACCGTACGGAGGCCCAGCGCAGCCGCCAAGCCCTCAGGTGCGTCCCCGCGCGCGGTGGGACTCAGTTAACCTAGGAGTACTTAGGGTAGTGTCATCCAACATAGCATCCCTGCAGGACGTGGTCACCCAACCCAGGGTTCCTGTAGACATAGCTACCCTGGGGGCTCATGAAAGACAAGGCTCTGCTGAACATCTAGGAAGGACAGGGTACCTGGAGCAGGAAGAATCACAGTCCCTGAGGCCGAATGATCTAGATTGGGGTCCTGGAGTTGGTCCTTGCTCACGGTGTCAATGGACACATTACCTAAGCTCTGTGTCTATTTGTAAAGTGAGATTCATGCTCCTTTTGAAGAAACTCATTAAGAATTAAGTAGACCAGTACTTGTGAGTTAAAGGTGGCTTAGTTTGTACTCAGCCCCGAATCACTGTCAGCCATCACTGGCTCTGCCAGGGTCTTGCTGAGTAATCTTAGGCTCTGCGTTGTGTTCTCTGGGTCTTGTTTTTCTGCTCTGAGGGTAGGTATCACAGACATGGGTGTTCTTTTTCCTGCAGGACATCCTCCCCCTGGAGATTTTATAGCTCTGGGGTCCAAGGGTCAGGCCAATGAATCGAAGACAGCGTCCACGCTGCTGAAGCCGGCCCCTTCTGGGCTGCCTTCAGAGCGCAAGAGAGATGCTGCAGCCTCCCTGACTGGTACCTCCGCGCTGACTGGCCTTACTAAGCGCCCCAAACTGTCCTCTACTCCCCCATTGAGTGCCCTGGGACGTCTGGCTGAGGCCGCAGTTGCAGAAAAACGAGCCATTTCTCCCTCAATTAAAGAGCCATCTGTGGTACCCATTGAAGGTAAGGTCAGACTTCCCCTCATCCTGTCCGTCCCCCCAGTGCCCACTGGGGCCACTTCCAGCCTGGTTCTGTTAGCACAGCAGGGTCTTCTGCAGGAATGGGTGTGATGAGCTCTTGGCTCCCTGTGGGGTTGCCTCCCAGCCCGCACTGCGCAGAGCTCTTCATTCTGTCACTTTTCTGGCATGCCCTTCTGTGACAGCACTGTCCTGAGCCCTGCTGGAGGAGGTGCACCAAGTGTGGTGGCACCCAGGGGTTCTAGCCTGGTCCTCAAGTGGGAGGAGGGCGTTTGCACAGTTTCTCTCTTGGGGACAGGGAGCATTTTGGCACCATTTTCCAGGTAGAAAACAGATCCCGAGAAACACCAAAGAGACCTTAGAGGGGAAATGACTGCGCCCACTGCCCTGCTGTTCCCACTAGCACTTGTGGTTGTGAAGCTGTTTAACTTTCCCCTGCTTTTGGTCACTTATCCAGTGACTTCTTTGATGGTGCCAGGATTGAGCCTAGGTCTTGATGCTGAGCTACAGCCAGCCCCACTCTGTGACTCATAACAGCTCCATGATGCCTGTAGTGTAGACCTGTCGCCCACTAGCTCTGTGCCAGCCTCTGAGTACCTAGCACTCCAGTAACAGACACCACTGTCTGCATGTCGCTGGGAGTGTTTTTTCTTTATTTTTTATTTTTGGTTTTTTCGAGACAGGGTTTCTCTGTACTGTTTTGGAGCCTGTCCTGGAACTTCTCGGTAGATCAGGCTGGTCTCGAATTCGCAGAGATCCGCCTGCCTCTGCCTCCCGAATCCTGGGATTAAAGGCGTGTGCCACCACCGCCCCAGTCCTGTCCTGCAGATTTGGATGAAGCTGTATCTCATAAAGTTACATTACCTATTGCTATTGAGATGTCATTTGAAAGGCTCAGAGGGTAGCAGGTGTGGTGGTGTAGGATCATCACCTCAACTTCCTGAGAGACTGAAGTAGTAACTTGAAAGTTCAGGGTCAGTCTCAGCCACTTAACAAGACCTTATCTCACAGTAAAAAGTAAATTAAGGACCATTGAGTATAGCTAAGTGGTAGAGTACCTGCCTAGAATCCCCTGGTGAGGGGCTAGGGGCGTGGCTCAGTGGTAGAACACCTGCCCAGAAATCCCAGTGTGGGACTGGGGTGTGGCTCAGTGGTAGAGCACCTGCCTAGAATCCCCCAGTGAGGGGCTAGGGTGTGGTTCAGTGGTAGAGTACTTGCTTAGAATTCCCTAGTGAGGGGTTGAGGTTTGGGTCAGTGGTAGAGCACCTGCCTAGCATTTGTGAGGCCATGGGTTGGGAAGAAAGGCACTAACCCTAACCCTGCTCAGAGCTTCCATGTACTGGTGAGATCCGTCTGTGTTGCCTCTTCTTTCCGCTCACTCCTGTGGCTCTGGGTGTGACCTCTACCCTCACCCCTGCTAATTTGAACCTCTCATGTGGTCAGTTCTTCCCACTGTTCTGCTGGACGAGATTGAAGCTGCTGAGTTGGAAGGCAATGACGACAGGATAGAGGGAGTGCTGTGTGGGGCCGTGAAGCAGCTGAAGGTGACGCGGGCCAAGCCTGACAGCACGCTTTACCTGAGCCTCATGTACCTGGCCAAGATCAAGCCCAACATCTTTGCCACAGAGGGCGTCATTGAGGTGAGACTGGCAGCCTGCTCTCCCCACCATCCCTGGACCTGCCGCTATCTCTGTGCGGTGTGAGGCATCTCATGACAGTTGTAACTTTACCTTCCTTTCAGGCCCTATGCAGCCTCTTGCGGAGAGATGCCTCTGTCAACTTCAAGGCCAAAGGGAACAGCCTAGTATCTGTACTGGCCTGCAATCTCCTCATGGCTGCGTACGAGGAGGATGAGAACTGGCCTGAGATCTTCGTGAAGGTGAGTCATCCCTCCAGGGACTCAGTGGGCAGAGCACTGTAGAGGGGATGCCCCTGCTCTGGGTATCTGGGCAGCATCAGGCAGGGTCCAAACATAACTCGCTGTAGGTGTACATTGAGGACTCGCTGGGTGAGCGTATCTGGGTGGACAGCCCTCACTGCCGCACCTTCGTGGATAACATCCAGACAGCTTTCAACACCAAGATGCCCCCAAAGAGCGTACTGCTGCAGGGGAAGGGGGCGCGCAGTGGAGGTGACCTTGGTGCAGGTAAGATATGTCAGGGTGTCTGGTGGGGGCTGAGGGCACTACCCTCCGCATCCCTGGGAGAAGGCACCCATTGGCTTCCATGGTGCCTTCAGGCAGTAGCCCCCATCCCTCACTCACTGAAGAGGAGGACAGTCAGACAGAATTGCTGATTGCTGAGGAGAAACTGAGCCCTGAGCAGGAGGGGCAGCTCATGCCAAGGTAGGTGTGCTGTCAGCCCCAGTCTCAGGAGACCAACGGGGGTGGGCGCCGGAGCTGGCATCCTTCCTGGCCTCCCTTTCCCCCCTCTGGCCTAGGTACGATGAACTCACAGAGAGCGTGGAAGAGTATGTTCTGGACATGCTTCGTGACCAGCTGAACCGGCGCCAGCCAATCGACAACGTGTCCAGGAACCTCCTGCGGCTGCTCACAGCCACCTGTGGCTACAAGGAGGTGCGGCTGCTGGCTGTGCAGCGGCTTGAGATGTGGCTGCAGAACCCCAAGGTGCGCTGTGTCGCTGAAACAGTTCGTGAGGGGTCTCCTTGGGGGTCTGGGCTGTTGTGGTTGCATGCTCAGTGGTCTTCTGGTCTCCTTACAGCTGACCAGGCCAGCCCAGGACCTGTTGATGTCTGTGTGCATGAACTGCAACTCGCATGGACCAGAAGACATGGATGCCATCTCTCACCTGATCAAGATCCGCCTCAAGCCCAAGGTGCTGCTCAACCACTACATGCTCTGCATCAGGTATGAGGCTGGCTGGGGCAGTGGGCGATGAGGCAGGCCAGTGGGCAGCACGGGAGCCTGGCCTTTGCCCCCTCACCCGTTCGGCCTTTGTGTCCAGGGAGCTGCTGAATGCGCACAAGGACAACCTGGGTACCACCATCAAGTTTGTGATCTTCAACGAGCTCTCCAATGCTCGCAACCCCAACAACATGCAGATTCTCTACACTGTGCTGCAGCACAGCTCTGAGCTGGCGCCCAAGGTGGGGACACTGAGTATGAGCCAGCCCCTGGGCTTGCGTCTCCCTGAGGCTGGGGGCTTGTGGAACTGCACAGGGAGGAGCTCCTGGTTTCGGGTGGGAAGACACATTGGTTCCCAGTTTCTAAACCCTCCTTGTGATCGCACACAAGGAGAAGGTAGCACTGAGTGTTGAGTGAGCCCCCCAACTGCCCCAGCCCCAGCCTGGTGCAACCTTCTTGGTTGGGCATCTTTCTAAAACAAGCAGACATCTCCATAGATTTCCAGCCCTGGCCTGGAGTCCTAGCTCATGGGTGTCAGGTCTGGCATCTCTCGAGACCCAAGAAGCACTGTTATGCTTAGCAGGAGCCAGGCTGTTGGGCACTGTGCTAGCTTCTGGCCACGCCTGATGGCTGCCTTCTTAGCTCAGTGTCTTAAGACAATTAATTGGGTAGTTGCTGACAGGAGCATCTTTGGTGTTTGGTATTGAGTCCAGGTGGGTTGGGTGGGGTGGGCCTGTATAGTATCCCCATTCCTGTGTCTGCCAGTTAGCTTTTTCCCTGGTCAGAAGAGGACTGGCTCCCCTCTTGCCAACTACCAGGAGAGTGAAATATGGCATGCCCTCCTCTCCTTAAGAGCTCATATCCATGAAGAGGAGACTGGTACCTCCTCTCAGGACAAGCAGCCCAAGATGTGCTCTAGGAACTTGGACAATCCTACCATGTTAGGTGCTTAGGTTTTTGAGGTTCTTGTTCTCCAGGAGAAGGCTTTCTGCAGGTCCCAGTGAGGTCCTGGCAGGTTGATGGGGTATGGCAAAGGCATGTGCCTAGATGGCCGTTGACCCCAGCTTCCTGTGGCTTCTCTCTGCCTCAGTTCCTAGCCATGGTGTTCCAGGATTTGCTGACCAACAAGGATGACTACCTCCGTGCCTCCAGGGCCCTGCTGCGAGAGATCATCAAGCAGACCAAGCATGAGATCAACTTCCAAGCTTTCTGCCTGGGACTCATGCAGGAGCGCAAAGAGCCACAGTACTTGGAAATGGAATTTAAGGTGCCTTGGGGTCCCTGCTCGCCACCTCCCACTTTGCATTTCCGGGCTCTGACAGGTTTACTGGGGATGGCCACGTCCACGTGCCAGGCTCGTGTGCAGACATGGACTCAGTGGTACACACATCCAAGGGTGAAGTCAGGAGTGTTGCTCCAGTCCTCATAAGGGCGCTGGTGACCCCAGCACGGATGTGGACATCTCAGCTGGTGGTACAGTGGAGTGACTGGGAGGCACCTGAGGGAGAAGTCTGCTTGACTGGGGGTGCAGAGCAAGAGACGGGAAGAGGTGTTGCTGAGCCGATAAAGTGGGGAGCTGGAGGATACCCAGGGCCCTGGGCAAGATAGCAGTCCACCGTGGTGGCAGTGTAGTATGCCACTGGGGAGAGGATTTGTATAGATCTGTTGGTTGAGTCCTTTCCCTGTAGCCTGATCAGGAGCTGGCTCAGTGTGGCCAACTCCTGGACCCCAAGACCTGCTTCTGCTAGCTCTTATCTTAGCTTGGTAGTCTCTAAATGTAGGCACATGCTGGCTTCCTCTCTATGTTGCCTATGTGTCTTTGTCTGCTGTGCATGTGTACACATGTGGGAGGGGCCCTTGTCATGCCAGCCTTGCCACTCTGTATGCCTGTAGGAGCGGTTTGTGGTCCACATCACAGATGTGCTGGCCGTGTCCATGATGCTGGGCATTACAGCCCAGGTGAAAGAGGCTGGCATCGCCTGGGACAAAGGAGAAAAGAGAAGTAAGACCTGCTGGACTGGGGTCTTTGGATGAGGACATAAGAACTAAGCCTTGAGTAATTGCACATTCCTGAAGCTGAGCTGACTCCTGGAGACCAGGCATAGGGGTGGGGGGGGTAGGGAGTGGTGGTGGCGTGATGGGGTATTCCTCACCATGGTTTCTGGAGGAGGAGAGGGGAAGCAGCAGTCCCCTCCTGCCATCTGGCTGGGAGGACTGTCTGTGCTTAGAACCTGCTCACTAAGGCCCAGAGTGGGGTGGGAGGCCCATAACTGGGAACAGGGGTTGTCTCCATAGCGGCGTGGCCTGTTTGAGGCCATGGCTGCAGGGCACCCATGAGCCTGCTCACCTCCCTAGACCTCGAGGTGCTACGCACATTTCAGAACCAGATTGCAGCCATCCAGCGTGACGCAGTGTGGTGGCTTCACACTGTCGTCCCATCCATCAGCAAGCTTGCACCCAAGGACTATGTGCATTGGTAAGAATCAGCCCATCATTCAGCCTCCTACTTGGGTACCACTTTGGATAGGCGCTTGCTACCTCTGCTGCAGCCACTGACTGCAGCCCCTTAGGACCCTGGGCATGAGAGCCACGTGCGGGCCTCCCTTCCTCATAGCCCCCATCAGCCTCGCTTGGTCACTAGTGGCCACTGTGGGCAGCTGGCTCAGGAACTAGGAGACCCTGAGCACTCTTCCATCACCAGCTTTTGCCAGAGTTGCCCCCATGGGACACTTGGGGTGGGAGATGCCCTCTGCAGCTGCATCCTGACTGACACCTGTTCTGTCCCTACAGCCTCCACAAGGTGCTCTTCACCGAACAGCCCGAGACCTACTACAAGTGGGACAACTGGCCACCTGAGAGTGACCGCAAGTGAGAGTTGGGGTGGGCAGGGCAGCTGGAGCGCAGCGTGTGGGCATCTGCTTAGCAGGGGCAGGGCAGCTGGAGCGCAGCGTGTGGGCATCTGCTTAGCAGGTGCTGGGCGGGTAGGTCCATCCTGCATACTCTGTACTGTTCGTTCTTCATCTGCAGGGATGTCTGTCCCAAATTCCTGCCTCTTCCCCATTCCCTGGTCACACCCTCAGGCAGTCCCTCCAACTCCCATGGTTCCCTTCTTTGGCTGACCTGCCATCCCGCTCTGACCCACTTGTCACCGGCATTTCTGCCCCTTCTCCTTCCTGCTGTCCTCTAGTTAGTAGACACTGCTGTCCTGTTGCACCCCAAGTACTCTTCCTACCGTAGGTGCTACGTTTCCAGCTGCTTTCCAGGGGTTGCATACAGCCCATCTATCCACACATGAACGAGTAACCATGGGGTAGAGGAGGCAGTGGCTTCTCACTCTCTCCTTATCTGTTCAAGCCCAGGATTTAGTGTGCATTCTCTGCACAGACCACTAGACTAAAGATTACATCTATGGAAAGGTGGATTGGAGTCTGGCCACTGGCCACAGGAGACCCACTGGCCCCTCACCACCCATCTCCCAACATCATCTGCAGTTTCTTCCTGCGCCTCTGCTCAGAGGTTCCCATTCTGGAGGACACCCTGATGAGGATCCTTGTCATTGGACTGTCCCGAGAGCTGCCTCTTGGCCCTGCGGATGCCATGGAACTGGCTGACCACCTTGTGAAGCGAGCTGCAGCTGTGCAAGCTGATGGTAACTCCCCTGGTGCTTTGCCCTTCCCTCCACAAAGCCTGAGGTCCCACCGGCCCAGCTGCATCTCACACCCTCTGGGAGGTTGGGTACCCAGATTGTGGATCTAGAGGTTCCCCTGTGCCCTGGCTGACCCTGCAGTTCACCCAGGCTCCCACAAGGTGAACCCGGGCAGTAACTCGGCTCTCCTCTCCTATCTGGGGGAGGTGGAATGATCCTGAGCATGACACTTCTGATTCTGTGTTCTCAAACCCCAGGGTGGGCTGCTGTCAGGTTCTGCCATCTGCAGGGCCAGTGCCTTTCCCTAGTTTGGCCCACCATGCCATGGTACCAGTCACACACATGCCTTGCCTGGAGCAAAGTCCCAGTCTCTCTTCCCACTTATTCCCCACTGTCCACTGAGACCTGGGCCAGACTCTGGAACCCAGGTGCTTTTGGATTTCAGATGTGGAAGTTCTGAAGGTAGAGCGGATCCAGCTCATAGATGCAGTTCTAAACCTGTGCACCTACCACCACCCTGAGAATATCCAGCTGCCCCCAGGGTAAGGCTGTAGCCCTGTTCCTGGCAGGTTGGCCTTGCATTAGCAAGACTGAGGTGGAGCTGGCTTCAGGGCCCACAGCCGCCAGCCTTTCTCTATTCCTGTGTGAGTGGTTCCTTCTCCTGTGGCTTCTTGGGGTCTCTTATTTATTTTGGGTGGTCTCTCACTGCTGTGGAGACCTGGCTGCCTTCAAAATCAAAATCCACCCACCCCTGCTTCCTGAGTGCTGGGACTAAAGGCATGCACCTTTATGTCTGGCTTCTCTAAATTATTTTTTCAGAACTAACAGTAGATCCCAGGGATTTGTGAATACTAGACACACACTACCACAGCTTTTTTTTTTTTTTTTTGGTTTTTCGAGACAGGGTTTCTCTGTTGCTTTGGAGGCTGTCCTGGAACTCGCTTGGTAGTCCAGGCTGGTCTTGAACTCACAGAGATCCGCCTGCCTCTGCCTCCCGAATGCTGGGATTAAAGGCGTGCACCACCAACGCCCGGCTTTTTGCGCCACCAACGCCCGGCGCCTTTTTTTTTTTAACTTAAAATTTTTGTTTTATTTATTGAGAGAAGGGGAGTATGCGTATGTGTTGTATTTGATTGCAGGTCATCAGGCCAGCTGAGGCATCTCTCTAGGCGTTTTGTTTATTTTAAGGGTGTGTGTGTGTGTGCATGTGTGTGCACTTCCAGTGGGGTAATTTATTTTGTGCGTGTGTACATGTAAAGTACACATGCCAAGACTGTGTGTGGAAGTCAGGGCTACTTGTGGGAATCAGTTGTCTCCTTCCACATTTGGGTCCTGGGGATTAAACTCACTCCGTGAGCCATCTTGCTCCCTGTTTTTGGAGCAGAGGTCTCTTACCTTTTTACTTAGAACTCATCGTTTGGCTGGCCAGTGAGCCCCAGGGTTCCTTCTGTCTCCACATCCTAGCACTAGGATTACAAGTATGTACAACTGTGTCTGGCTTTTTTGTTTGTTTGTTTGTTTGTTTTTCAAGGCAGGGCTTCTCTGTGTAGCCCTGGCTGTCTTGGAACTCATTCTGTAGATTGGGCTGATCTCAAACTCAGAGATCTGTCTGCCTCCACCTCCTGAGGGCTGGAATTTAGGCATGTGCCACCACAGCCCAGCATGTCTGGCTTTTTTTTACTTGGTTTCCAGGGAATAGAACTGGCCTGGCCTGAATTCAGGGTACTGAACTTATACTGTTGATGTTCCTGCCTTCTAGGTATCAACCCCCAAACCTTGCCATCTCCACCCTCTACTGGAAGGCCTGGCCCCTACTGCTGGTTGTTGCCGCCTTTAACCCAGAGAACATCGGTAAGTTGTCCTCACCATGGACCAGAGCCTAGCAAGGTACCAACTAGGGTTACAGGTGAGGTTGGTGAAAATGCTGTTTTCCTTCCCTAGGCCTGGCTGCATGGGAGGAGTATCCCACCCTGAAGATGCTCATGGAGATGGTGATGACCAAGTAAGTGGGTGAGCCCCGTCCTTCATCCCAGGGTGGGGCTGTACAGAGGAATATTATTTATGTCACTCCTGGTGTCTGATTCCTTGTATGCAGTTTCTGAAGCCAAGTCTGTTGTTCGCTGGTCTCCGCTCCTTTTCCTGGGGCTGGGCAATGTGGCTCTAGCGATCACCATGGGAGCCCATGGGCAAGGTGATAGGACCTGTGCACACAAGATGGGCAGCTTGTACACTGCAGCCTGGGAAGAAGACAAACCAGGCAGACAGTGGGGAGCAGAATGGATGATGGACCTGGCCCATGGGGAATGCAGCAGGCCCACAGCCATAGTAACCTACACAGTGCTTAGCACAGTTAATGGAGCCTCTTCATTCTTGTATTGAAGCTCATATGCGTCAGGGTGAAGACTGCTGCTGTATTAGATCCAACCCAGCCAGGCAGGTGCCACACACAGTCATGGCCTTAGGTTGCAGCCTAAGGACTGACACTGTAGGGATCAGGCTTGTGTGTGGCCATAATATTGAAGACAGGTGTGTGATTGACACTGGGGACTGGGTGTGTGTACAGCCATGACATTGAGGAACAGATGTGTGGCTAAGGTGTAGGATACTGGGTGTGTGGTTTAGGCCTGGGAGACATAGGACATGGGACTTTGTGGAAGGGACTCCTCAAGGAGACAAATTTTTGAGCATGTAAAAGAAAGGGGAGTGTTTGTGCCTCCCAGAAACCTGTGTACCTCTGTGGGGCTGTCATAATGAACAAGGGTTCCATGAGATGTGATATGGTGTCACATAGTGTGGCAGAGCAGGTGTCCTTGACACTGGAAGTATGACACTAGTTTCCATGCTGAAGGTAGCAGTGTTGCTGTGTGAAGTGACTGCTGGGTCCCTGGAACCTGCAGCTGCTGGGGCTTAACTAGACAGCTTTTTTCCGGCCTAGTGCTTGGACTCTGCTCCTGTAATAGCAGCCTTGTGTGCCTGACCCTGAACATTGCCTGCTGGGTGCCCATATGCAGGGGTGGGTACTAGGCCTGCATTTTTGGTCTCCAGTAACTACTCATACCCACCGTGCACGCTGACGGACGAGGAGACGAGGACGGAGATGATCAACCGTGAGCTGCAGATATCTCAGAGGGAGAAGCAGGAGATCCTGGCCTTTGAGGGCCACCTGGCTGCCGCCTCCACCAAGCAGACCATCACCGAGAGCAGTAGCCTCCTCCTGTCCCAGCTAACCAGCTTGGACCCTCAGTATGCTACCCCCTTCCCCCAGTCCCAGATCTGGGGGCAGACGGACGAGAAGCAGGCAGAGCTGACCTTGAGTTGCCTACTCTGCTCGCCCGCCCCCACATGGTGTGGATCTCTGGGATTAGGCCTTAGGGTGCTGGGGTTAACTGAGGTGTCCACCCCTTGGTAGCAGGGCTGGGACAAACATATCCTGCACTTGCACTCAGTGTTTTATGTGTGGCCTTCTGACTCTTGTTCTGACTCTCGTGTCCCCCATGACACACAGAGGCCCTCCCCGGAGGCCACCTCCTCACATCCTGGATCAGGTGAAGGCCCTCAACCAGTCACTGCGCCTCGGACACCTGTTGTGCCGCAGCCGTAATCCAGACTTCCTCCTGCACATCATCCAGCGCCAGGTAAGACCTGCCTTGAGAATGGTGGAGGGAACCACAGGCCGAGAAGTTTCTAGAGGTTTTCCCAAAGGCAGAATGTGTCAGGATGCACAGTGAGCAGCTTATCCATGCATGCTGTGGTGCACAGACACACCATGGGTGGCTCATATGCACACTGACTATTGCAGGTTGCCACTTGCCCTGCAGAGGGCAGACTTGAGCACCTGCAGGCCAGAGGATTCAGGGCTTAGTGTCTGGGCCTCTGATGATAAGCTGTCTCCTGCCCACACAGGCCTCCTCCCAGTCCATGCCATGGCTAGCAGATCTGGTGCAGTCCAGCGAAGGCTCGCTGGATGTGCTGCCTGTGCAGTGCCTGTGTGAATTCCTGCTGCATGATGCAGCTGACGCCACTGCCTCAGGGGAGGAGGATGAGGAGGGTGAAAGCCGGGAGCAGAAGGCCAAGAAGCGGCAGGTAAGGGTGTGCAGCTGTCTACCCCACCAGATCTACCCAAGCAGCGGCCCTGACAGTTCTTCTCGGTCCATAGAGGCAGCAGAAACAGCGGCAGCTGCTGGGCCGCCTGCAGGATCTACTGCTGGGCCCTAAAGCAGATGAGCAGACCACATGTGAGGTACTCGACTACTTCCTCCGGCGTCTGGGCTCCTCACAGGTAGCCTCCCGGGTGTTGGCCATGAAGGTGAGTGAGAGACTTGGTGTGGCGGTGACGGGCCCTTGGGATTGACACCCTTACACTTGGTAGTTAAGCCATAGCCCAGCCCCTCACTGGGGAATTCTAGGCAGGTGCTCTACCACTGAGCCTCACCCCAGCCCCTCACTAGGGGATTCTAGGTAGGCGCTCTACTGCTGAGCCACAGCCTGGCTCTCTGTGTATGCACTGGATAACCACTTGGTTCTCCCAGACTTCTTGCTAATTTGCATGGTGCCGCTTGTCTAGTCTGCAAGAAATGGAGCCCTTTGTCTCTTGTCTGTGGCTCCTTCCCTGGATGGTGACATACTTTGAGAGCGGTTGAACAAACTGCAGCTTGCCATATCGAGAAAGGTTGTGTAGGGCACTGCGCTGAGGCTCAGGCTCTCTATTCTATCCCTAACACCAAAGAAAAAAGCTATTAACAAGTATTTTACACTGGGTATGATGGGCAGCCTAGTAATCCCAGCTCTCAGGATGCTGAGGTGGGAGTTTCCAGACCAGCCGACTACATAGTGAGTTTGAGACCAGGCTGGACTAAGAGTCAAACCTGTCTCCAAGAGCAAGCAAGTTTAAAGAACTCAGCTCACGTTCCTTTTCTCCTCACGATCACGGTGACAACAGTGAGCTGGAAAAATTTCCTCACCCAGGAGCTGCTGTGATTCTATGTGGGGCTTGAGGAGACAGGCATGCTTCTGAGAGTGGGGTGGGCCCCCTGCATACCAGGGCAGGCCGTCCTAGCTGTGTGTGTATCTGCAGGGCTTGTCACTGGTGCTGTCTGAGGGTGGCCTTCGTGACAAGGAGGAGAAAGAGCCCCCCATGGAGGAGGATGTAGGAGAGGCAGACGCGCTGCAGGGCTATCAGTGGCTGCTGAGGGACCTGCCTAGGCTGCCCCTGTTTGACAGCGTGAGGACCACCACTGCCCTGGCTCTGCAACAGGTAAGGGATGAGCGAGGCCAGTCCTGGGAGGAAGGAGTGGTTGCAGGCTCCCCAGGATCCTGCTCATACATCTGCCCACGCTCCCTAGGCCATCCACATGGAGACTGACCCCCAGACCATCAGCGCCTACCTCATCTACCTGTCCCAGCATACGCCAGTGGAGGAGCAGGGCCCACACAGTGACCTGGCCCTGGTGAGAGAATTCTGCCACCAACGTTGTGACTGGCTGTTGGGCTAGTGAACAAGGAGTCAAGGAGGTTGGACTCCTCCTGACCAGAATCTTCGGAGTTTCTGACAGCCCTTATCCCCACTCAGGATGTGGCCCGGTTGGTCGTGGAGCGCTCCACCATCATGGCGCACCTCTTCTCAAAGCCGTCATGCAACACTGCCTCCGATGCTGTACTCAGTGCCCTGCTGTCCGTGTTTTCCCGCTACGTGCGGCGCATGCGCAAGAGCAAGGAGGGAGAGGAGGTCTACAGTTGGGTGAGGGCCAAGTGGGCAGCAACCCAACCAGTGGGACAGGGTATTCAGAGCTGAGCGAGAGGAGTGAGGAGGGTATGAGGTGGCCTGAGGCAGTCTATAGCTAGGGGATACGCTCCATAGGGGTGATGCTGCAGCGGGGGCGCAGGATGGGCACACGCCGTGGTCAGTCCTACCCTCTGAGCCACATTTCTCACAGTCAGAGTCTCAGGACCAAGTGTTCCTACGCTGGACCAGTGGGGAGACAGCCACCATGCACATCCTTGTGGTCCACGCCATGGTCATCCTGCTAACATTGGGCCCACCCCGTGGTAAGCAATCTGTCTTGGGCTTTTTGTTCCTTTTTTTTTTTTTTTTTTTTTTTTTTTTTTTCGAAACAGGGTTTCTCTATGTAGCCTATGGCTATAGACCTTAGCTATGCAACTTGCTCTGAAGACCAGGCTGACCTCAAACTCGCAGAGATTCCCCCGCTACTGCCTCTCAAGTGCTGGGATTAAAGGCGTGTGCTACCACTGCCCAGCTATCCTGGGCTTCTCTAAACTCAGCTTCTAGTTAGGATGGTCTGGGAAGAACCCTCTGGCGTAGCTTGGGTGTGCCCTGCCCACTGCACCTCAGTTGCTGAGTGCAGCATGAGTGCGCCCTCCCTCCTCATTTTTTGAGTGTCTTCTGTACAGTCGAGCTCCCATCATCCCCATGGTCCTGTAGGTTGACCTGGGAACTCAGTGGCCAAGTCCAGAGTCTGGTAAAGTAGTCTGGCTGAAACCCCTCTGGCCAATAGCCTTCTCTCATCCTGGTCACTGGCAGCTTCCAACAGGTACCCAGCTATGCCTAAGAGAGTGGAAAGGGTGTAGGATGCCCTGACTGGGAATTATGGGGCATGTGGATGAGCTCTGCTCCATACTGTCATCTGGAGTGTGTGTCCATCCACTATGTTGCCCTGAGAAAGGACAGCAGGGAAGACTGACTTCATGCTGTCTCGTCTTGTTGGGTCTCCTGGGCTTTGCAGAGCCCAAGGCTGAAGGCACTGTGAGGACAGGAAGCTTGTGCTGGGTTCTTGTGGTCACATGAGTGCAAGTATGGTGGCCTTGGGCAAGAAGCTACGTTTCACTCACAGACCCAGGGTACTGTAGGCCAGCAAACAGCAGACAGGGTGATAGGAAGTGATGTGCCCAGTGAGGGCCCTGTCAGTCCTCACCTGCATTTGAGCCTTCTCTGTTCCCCTAAAACCTCGGTGTTCACCCACTGCAAGAAGAACAGTCCTCGGTGGTCTATGGTCCTTCTTGGGTTCATGGCTCCTCAGATGATACTGCTGTTCCCTGTGTCCTCCCTGAAGCTGGTGATGGCGAGTTTCATGAACTGCTGGACATCTGGTTTCCTGAGAAGAAGCCCCTGCCCACAGCCTTCCTGGTGGACACCTCTGAGGAGGCCCTGCTGCTGCCCGACTGGCTGAAGCTGCGGATGATCCGCTCCGAGGTTCCCCGGCTAGTGGATGCTGGTACAGCAAGGCTGGGCTGGGGAAGAGGCAGCTTCTCACTTGGGAGGCTGGACCATCTCCTGTCACACCTTCCAGGAACTCTGAGGGCTCAGAGACCAGGCCTGGGGAAGAAATGGCTATAAAAGACCTGGCCTCTAGAGGCACAAGAGGTGGTGTCAGGGCTCTCGGGTTAGTCCTCGGAGGGCATGTGGGCTGTAGGCAAGCTGCACTGAGCAGAGGATTCCAGTGGGGGCTGGGCGTGGCCTAGCTTGGGTCCTTCAGTCTGGCCCCAGGCAGGAAGGGAAACTATTAGGTGACTGGGTGAAGAGTCTGGACTCCAGTGAGCCATAGGGACTTTGGTGATATTATATCTTCTATCTAATAGAAGCCTCAGTGGACTGCATGTGGTAGAGATCATCAGTGCCAGGCCCTGTGGTGGGGCATTTGAGGGCTACGCTTGCAGGGCTAGGGCTGGGGACAGACCTGGATAGCCCAGTGGGTAGTTGAGCATGCCTTGCCCACAGCCCTGCAGGACCTGGAACCCCAGCAGCTACTGCTCTTTGTACAGTCCTTTGGCATCCCTGTGTCCAGCATGAGCAAGCTACTGCAGTACCTGGACCAGGCAGTGGCCCAGGATCCCCAGACCCTGGAGCAGAATATCATGGACAAGAGTAAGAAGCCCTGGGGATCATGAGACTGGCCCTGTGGGTCTGGAATATATGGTTGTTGGGCCGGGTGGGCATTGACACTTGTGGCAGGTGCTGGAACTCTTGATACTAGATTGTTCCCATCATGACTGACTTTGAGGCTGGAGGGAACCCTAGGTCCTCTGCTGGGAATCCGTAGCTCAGTTCTTGCAGTCTGTGTTTTGGTTTTTTTGAGACAGGGATTCTCTGTGTAACTCTGGCTGTCCTGGAACTCATTCTGTAGACCAGGCTGGCCTCGAACTCACAGAGATCCGCCTGCCTCTGCCTCCCGAGTGCTGGGATTAAAGGCGTGAGCCACCACCGCCACAGCTAGCTCCTGCAATCTTAGAAGAGCTTGCTGGGTGTGGTGTGGCAGCCACCGGTCCTGTGTTCTGCGGGAAGGCAGACTGACTTCCCCCACCCCCAGTGATCCCTTGGCTGCTGTTTTGCAGATTACATGGCCCACCTGGTGGAGGTGCAGCATGAGAGAGGTGCTTCCGGAGGCCAGACCTTCCACTCGCTGCTCACGGCCTCCCTGCCACCCCGACGAGGTACAAGGCCTCCCTACACACACACACACACACACACACACACACACACACACACACGTTACTGACCCACACACGTTACACACGTTACACACGTTACTGACCAGCCTGAACTGCTTTTGGCCTATGTGTTATTCCCTGGCGGGTGCCAGCCTCCAGCCAGTGGGGCTCTTATTTTGGATCTACCCTTCATATGGGCCCTGGCGGACAGGACCAGAAGCTTATCAGAAAGTTTTGAGGTCACATGCTTCCTGTTTTTCTGCAGACAGCACAGAGGCTCCTAAGCCAGAAAGCAGCCCTGAGCCCCCACCAGGCCAGGGCAGGACTCGGGCAGGGACACAGGTCCCAGTGCTCGGCCCTGAGGACGACTTGGCTGGCATCTTCCTACAGGTACAAGCAGCACTCCCTGCACTTGTGACCCTCCCTGTCTCTTATGGCATGTGTGTCTACCCACTACTACATACTTATCTTGTACTCACCATGCTCTCAGTATGAAATCCAGCTCTGGGTTCCTACCTAGACCACATGGACTGTAGGTACCTCTGTCCTTCCCAGCAACTCCTGGGGTATTGGGGTCCCTTGCTACTCTTCCAGCCAGCTCCTAGGTCCCTTAGTCGTGCAGTTGAGCCCGAATCAGACAGACTTGAAGAATGGTATACATGGGAGCCACAGGGGTCTGGGACCTCTGCACTCTTCACTCTTCTGCTTTCAGATCTTCCCACTGAGCCCCGACCCACGGTGGCAGAGCTCCAGTCCACGCCCCCTTGCCCTGGCACTGCAGCAAGCCCTGGGCCAAGAGTTGGCTCGTGTCCGCCAGGGGAACCCCGAGGTGCCAGGCATCACAGTGCGCCTCCTGCAGGCCATGGCCACACTGCTGAGCTCCCCGCATGGTGGCACTCTGGCTCTGGCTATGCACCACAGCCACTTCCTGTCCTGCCCACTGATGCGGCAGCTCTACCAATACCAGGTACATGAGCTGGCGGGAGGGAAGGGCAGCAGGAGACTGGTGACCCAGAATGGATAGACTCTGCTTACTGCAGGCAGCTGGACATCTCCCCAACCCAACCTCAGGCCTGATACAGTCCCCAGCATGCCTGAGGCTTTCCTCAGCAGGCCTACACTCCCTTAAATACAAAAAGCCAGCTACCTTGGGGCAGGGGTGGAGGTGGGGGTCCTGCAGTGGAGGGTGAGTGAGGTCTCTCATCCTGTCTGCAGACTGGTCTGGGTCTGTCCTGTCTGCACGCACATGTGAGTGCATCTATGTGTGTGCTGTGTATGTGTGCACACCTGTGTTTCTTCTCCTCGCCATGAGTTGTTAGTGGAGGCACCTCCTCAAGGGACAGGCTTTTAAACTCCTTCAAGGTCATCCTGGCATTCAAGAGACTGCTTTTGAGTGGCAAGTGGGATGATCCTGGGTCCTGGCCCTGGACTCCGGTACCAGGTTGCAGACTACTTCCCATGCAGAGCTGTTGCAGTTCTGTGTCGGTCAGTGTGCTCACATATGGCTGACTGTCCCCACAGCGTGCTGTTCCTCAGGACACCGGCTTCTCCTCGCTCTTCCTTAAAGTGCTTATGCAGATCTTGCAGTGGCTGGACAGCCCCGCTGTGGAGGATGGGCCCTTGCAGGCCCAACTCAAGCTGTTTGCTACCCGCTTCTCAGCGAGACGCAGGATCAGCGATGGTGAGCACGCTGAGGGCAGCAGGTGTGCGGGGGCTGGGTGTTGTTAATGCGTTGGGGCCAAGCCTTCAGAGAGGCAGGCTGTAAGTGTGTGGGCAAGCCAGAGCCATGGTATCGGTCCCATGGTTTGCTTCATTGCTCACAGTGCGCAGTGGGCTCCTGCACCTGGCTGAGGCCCTGAACTTCCACCATGACCTGGAGGTGGCCAACTCCACTGTGAGGGCTGTCATTGCCACCCTGAAGTCCGGGGAGAAGTGCACTGTGGAGCCTGAGCTCATCAGCAAAGGTACTGCCAAACCCAATGCTGTTCCCTGTCCCCTATGCCCCACATGGAACCTCTTGAGGTGTGTGTGTATCTGCCTTGGGGAACTCCAGGTTGTAAGCCTACTCCGCTCAGCCAGCTTCCTGTCCCACAGTGCTCCGGGGCCTCATTGAAGTGCGCTCCCCTCACTTGGAAGAGCTGCTCACAGCGCTTTTCTCAGCCACCGCAGAGGCCTCCTGTCCGAGCTCGGCCTCTGGGCCCATTGTGGTGGTGAGCTCCTTGCTGCTGCAGGAAAAGGATGAGCCCTTAGGCCCTAGCAAACAGGATGCAGAGGGTGCCAGGTAGGTGGGGTGTGACTAGAGAGTGGGAGGGTGGTGACTCTGCAGCCTGCTCTCTGTTCTGATCCTTCTGCCCTGCAGCACGGAGACCATGCGCCTGGGACCAGCGTCTGGGCTGCTTGTGGACTGGCTGGAGACGCTGGACCCAGAAGTGGTCAGTAGTTGTCCTGATCTTCAGCGGAAGCTGCTCTTCTCACGAAGAAAGGTAACAGGGACAGTGGCCAGTGCCCTCCAACAGTGCTGCTGATTTTTGTGTCTTTTATCTCCCAGAGGAGGGCTGGGATTAGCCAGGCCTGGGCTTCCTAGTACAGGTAGTGTATATCTCTTTGAATCAACATTGGCAGCCACATCTGGGACTAGGGCTGGAGTAGGGGTAAGGTAGGACAGTTCCACCAGACCTTAAAATCTAAAGAACGCAGGTCAGCTAGAGGTATGGGGAAGATGAGAACATGGAAGGGTATTGACTCTGCAGTGCCACTTAAGCCCAACCCTGCCCAGGGGAAGATGGAGAAGGTGGGTAGAACCGGGGGCCTTGCCTTGCATGGTGGAGAGGAGATGGTGCCAGGCCTGGCCCCTTGCTGCTGTTTCCAGGGCGGCCCCACCAGAACATGGTCAGCTGACATGACCTATCAGAACTGGTTGTCCCTGGGCCCAATTGAAACCATCCCAACCTCTTTCTTCTCCAGGGTAAAGGCCACATAAGTGCCCAGGTGCTGTCTTTCCGCCCCTACCTTCTAGCCCTTCTCACACACCAGGCCAGTTGGTCTACACTGCACCGCTGCATCCGTGTCCTGCTAGGCAAGAGCCGGGAGCAGAGGTGAGGCCAGCCCCAAATCCCTGGGCGCCATGCATTATGCCCCTGCACCTTGCTTCAGGGCAGCAAGCCCCTCCTGAGGGTCTCCTGTGTGCTCAGTGCCTTAGGACACCAGTGTTCCCGCAACTGCCTTTGGTGCCCAGCCCCTCACCAAGGGCAAGACAGTCCAACCTCTCCTATCTTCTTGCCACATTTTCTCTTGTGGAGAATTTGGCTTAAGTCCATGCTGTGGTGTAGGTGGCAGAGGGACCGTGAGAAGCTGCCTATCTAGCCTGGTGGCAGGCCCCTAGTGAGGGCATAACCTGTGCTTGAGTTTTGTCATGGGAACCCAGCTCACACACACAGGACCTGGGAGTGTGGGGGTCAGGGAGACCCCTGTTGTCTGGCCATTGTGTACCAGCGCCTCCTCAGGACAGTGGTGGCCCTTTCCAGAGGCCTTTTCCAGGAAGTTTGCCCTGGTTCTGGCTTCAGATACCTGCTTGCTTCCTCCAGGCTCGACCCCTCAGCCTCCCTGGACTTCCTCTGGGCCTGCATCCATGTTCCACGGATCTGGCAGGGCCGGGACCAGCGTACTCCACAGGCAAGTGTCAAGAAGTTGGCCCAAACCTGCGGGTGGCAGCTGCATGTCCTGGGACTGACCTGTGGCCACCTGATTGCAGAAGCGCCGGGAGGAGCTGGTGCTTCATGTCCAGGGCCCAGAGCTGCTCAGCCTGGTGGAACTGATCCTGTCTGAGGCAGAGACCAGGAGCCAGGATGGGGACAGTGCCGCCCGCACTCTCATCCAGACCCGACTGCCCTTGCTGCTTAGCTGCTGCCGTGGCAACAGTGAGAGTGTCGGAAAAGTGACGGAGCACCTGACCAGCTGCATCCAGCAATGGGGGGACAGGTACCTGAGTCCCCACTGTGTCCCCTTGCTGCAGATGACTGCTCTCACTTGAGTGGCTTCTTCAGCATATGGCCCTCCCCTGGCCACATCACCCCGTAACCCAGTCCCTCTGCCCTCTGCTCTTTGCAGTGTGCTGGGCCAGCGCTGCCGAGACCTACTGTTGCAGCTGTACTTGCAGCGGCCTGAGGTCCGGGTGCCGGTGCCCGAGGTCCTGCTGCAGAGTGAAGGTGCCACCAGCAGCAGTATCTGTAAGGTGAGGGACACAGCCTATTGCTGTAGCCTTGCAGCCCACAGACCCTGAGCAGGGAAGGGAGGGCCGTGCTGCCAGCCTCACCTGACCTTGTGGAGCCTTGAAGGGTGCTGTGGTGGGCTCTTGCCTGGAAGAGCGGCCTGGGTACATAGGGTTGCTTTCCACTGCCCTTCCCCACAATGTGCTCAGACAGAAGTTGGCACATATCTATCGTGTAATGTGGACACCATGGCCTCCGTCAGGAGGGGAGTGCCATGCTACCCCAAGAACGTCCCTGAACCTGCCTGCCTCCTACACATCCTGGCCAGCGCCACTGTGCCTTGGCAGTGTGATGAGCTGTGTCCTCTGGAATTTTGTGTGAGGGGCCACATGAGTGCTCCTGCCTGTGGTGTGATCTCCAAAAGTCCATGCTGGGCATGATGCTGCCTCGTGGGATGGGACAGTTCAAGCGGTGCAGACCAGTGTTCTCCCTCACACACAGCTGGATGGGCTCATCCACCGCCTCATCACGTTCCTGGCAGATACCAGTGACTCCCGGTCTTCTGAGAGCAGAGTGGCTGATGCCAACATGGCCTGTCGGAAGCTGGCTGTGGCCCACCCCATCCTGCTACTGAGGTGCTTACTCTCACAGCTGTGGGCACACTGTGGGGTTGGGGTGTCTTGTGGGAAGATGTGACCAGGGGTCCCTTTCTGTTGGCCCCCAGGCACCTGCCCATGATTGCAGCCCTCCTGCATGGCCGCACACACCTGAACTTCCAGGAGTTCCGGCAGCAGAACCACCTGGCCTTCTTCCTGCACGTGCTGGGCATCTTGGAGCTGCTGCAGCCGCGTGTCTTCCAGAGCGAGCACCAGGGGGCGCTGTGGGACTGCCTGCGCTCATTTATCCGCCTGCTTCTGGTGGGTGCCAGGCCAGTTGTCCTCACATTCCTCAGCCCGAATATCCTGCCATGTTCCCGCTTGTCTTTGCTTGGCTTCCTTCTGCTCCCACAGGAGAACCTGGAGTGAGGGACAAAGCCAGACAGAGCTTCTGTCTCTGCTGTCTGAAGACCAACCCTATATTGAACCATAAGTCCCAGCATCCCCTGCCTGGGGACCCCCATATTCTAGACCCCTGGTGCTAAGCCCCTTTGCGTGCTGTTGTTGGCATCACATGCTCTCGTCTGTACATCTTTGATGTGATGTTACAGAGACAGAAGTCAAACTAGTCAGGCATAGCAGCAGTGCATAACTGCAAATAGCACATGGGTGGCTGAGGCAGGAGGATTGCAAGTTCTAGACTGGCCTTGGTTATAATATTGTGAGACTATATATAGGTTAGACAATCTCAAACAGAAAGAAAGAAGGAGAGCAAGACAGAAAAGGAAGGGGGAAAAGCCCAGAGGTTGGAGCTTGGGCTCAGTGACTAAGTGATTAGAGCAGCGGCAGCTCTTGCAGAGGACCTGGGTTTGGTTCCCAGCACCCACATGGCAGCTCACAACCATTTGAAACTCCAATTCCAGGGGATCTGTCGCCCTCTTTCAGATTCGGTACTGGGCACTCATGTGGTACACAGACTTAAATTCAGGCAAAACACTCATACAATAAAATCTAATAACCAAAGTGCCAGGCACCAGTCAGCCTGACTTTGGAACCGAGGCTGTCATGGGGGTCACATGTCATGTAGAGAGGGTCCGAGGAAGCCCCTGGTGACTCTGCCTTCTCTCCAGAACTACCGGAAGTCCTCCCGCCATCTAGCCCCCTTCATCAGCAAGTTCGTGCAGTTCATCCACAAGTACGTGGCCTGCAGTGCCCCAGCAGCCGTGGCCTTCCTGCAGAAGCACGCGGAGCCCCTCCAGTGAGTCCCCACACTTGCTGTGGCTGTCTGGTGGCTCCAGGCTTGAGCCAGGAGGCACAGTTCAGACATGACTGTCCTGCTGGAACTGGAGCCCTCATCCCCACTTGCTCCTCCCCTCCCTCCCTCCCTCCCTTCCTCCCCTCTCCCTCCTTCCCTCCCTTCCTCCCTCCCTCCCTGCCTCTCTATTTTCCACTGACCTCGCCCCAGGCAATCCTTCCTGCCCTGCTGCTTCTCCTCGCCTGCCCTCCTCGAGGGCAGTGGTTCTCAATCCTCCTAACTGTAATTTTGCTACTGTTGTGAATCATAATGTAAATATTTTTGGAGACAGGTTTGCCAGAGGGGTAGTGACTCACAGGTTGAGAGCCACTGCTCTAAAATGAACCCATGCTCTCTCCACAGTGACCTGTCCTTTGACAACAGTGACCTGGTGATGTTGAAGTCTTTACTGGCGGGGCTCAGCCTGCCTAGCCGGGACGGGAGAACGGACCAAGGCCTGGATGAGGAAGGCGAAGGTGAGGGGACAGGTGGGCTCCTCGGTGGAGTGCAATAAGGGTTCTGGTGGGTCTAGCTGAGCCCTGAAACCTCACCTGTCTCATGCCTGGGCATGGCAGTGCCATGACACACTGAACAGAACCATCCTGTGGGAATGTTGGGTTCTGCTCCCATGTCAGATGCTAACCTCGATGCTTCCTGGGCAGGCTGGTCCCTAGGTCAGGGTCTTTTGCCTTACTTGTGTGGTGGTGGCACATGCCCCACAGGCGGGCTCTATCCTTTGCTGACATGGTCACTGGCAGGTGAGTGACTCAGCCAACGATGCCTGTTGGCTTGATGATTGTGGCTAGGCCCTGCTGCCTGTGCTGGTTAGACTGACTGGCCGGCCTCTCTGAAAGCACACAGAAGCTATTTCACAGAGGACATACTATGTCCAGACACCAGTCTCCCATGTGGACTTGCACCTTGAGGGCAGAAGCAAGAGAATGCTCTCCTAGGCTGTCTGTAGGTCTTAGCTGTGTCTCCCAGGGTAGCCCAGCTCCTGAATGCCACCTTCCACATGACACTCCCCCACCCCGGTAACCACACATGTACCAATCATTTTGTTGCATCCTGGGTAGTGGCCAGTGTGCCTCTAGGGTGGGCATAGTCTTTCCATGGAGACTGCAGGTCTGGCTGAGTTTGTGTTCAGCCATTGCCTGACCCTGACTCACCTTTCACAGATGAGCGTTCAGCCGGCTCCCTGCCCCTGGTCAGTGTCTCCCTGTCCACCCCACTGACTGTAGCTGACGTGGCTCCGCACATGAAGAGACTCTCCCGGGGCCAGGCTGTTGAGGGTGAGTGAGCCAGCTGCTCCTGAACCACCCTAGATGCACTGTGCTGTTTGCTCAGATAGCACAATGAACCCCCAAAAGCAATGAGGTGCTTAAGGAAGACCCAGCAGGGTGGTTGATAGGAACGTCAGTTTTCAGAGGAGAACCAGGGAATGAGTAGAGGGGTCTGATCACAAGGTGAGCCGCTTGTCAAGTCCTCCCTGGAGACCAGTGTAAGGCCAAACAGGAAGGAGGGTGTAGTGTCGGGATAACCACTGAGCATAGCACACAGTGCCTGGTGCATCTTGGGGAGCCTCTAGAGGACCGGGATACCTGGGGACTACCCTTCCTGTCTCTAGAGAACCGGGATACCTGGGGACTGGCCCTTCCTGTCTCTGGTATCTTGGGATAGGAAGGAGGTTTCCCCCTAGGTCCTCCTAGACTTTCCAACCTGGCCCATTGTCCTCAGATGTGCTCGAGACTCTGAGCGACATAGATGAGATGTCACGGCGGAGACCTGAGGTCCTGGGCTTCTTCTCGGTGAGTGAGACTGGGAGGACCTGGGATCTAGGGTGGCACTCATCTTGCGGCTTGTGAGCTGGGCACTGCCCCAACCTGAAGCAGGAAGCCAAGCAGGCTATCCCATTGCCCCATGGCACCTTGGGAACAGGCCCTGTAGTTGCCAATAGGCTGAGTCTCCACGGTTGCCTGGTAACACTCCTCTCCCACCCGAGCAGACCAACTTGCAGCGGCTGATGAGCTCAGCGGAGGAGTCTTGCCGCAACCTGGCCTTCAGCCTCGCACTGCGCTCAATCCAGAACAACCCCAGGTGAGTAAAGCCCCAACCCAGGGCACTATCCTGCCCAGCTAGCTGAGCCAGGCCATAGGAGGCCAGTGCAGACTGGGGAGGCTCCTGGGGACCTGGGCCATGGGGCAGTACCCCTGGAACATGTCTCTTGCAGCATCGCCGCTGACTTCCTGCCCACCTTCATGTACTGCCTGGGCAGCCGGGACTTCGAGGTAGTCCAGACAGCCCTCAGGAACCTGCCAGAGTACACCCTACTCTGCCAAGGTGAGCCATCCACCCAACACCCACCTGCTGCCCTGGGAGGCACTGCTGGCCCAGAGCTGTCTGACTGCAATTCTTCCATAGAGCATGCGGCTGTGCTGCTGCATCGAGCCTTCCTGGTGGGCATGTATGGCCAGATTGACACCAGCGCCCAGATCTCGGAGGCCCTGAAGATCCTGCACATGGAGGCTGTCATGTGAACCACTGTGGTCATCATGATTGCAAGCTATACCAGCAAGCCTGTCTTGTGGTCGTCTCATCCCTGAGCCCCATGAGGCTGAGAACAACTCTCCAGCCATTGACTGGTGCTGGTAGTCTGAGTACTCGCCATTTTTCCAGTGACCGGACATATAGCAAGGAGAGATTGGTGTGCCAGCAAAGCACACTGAGGACCACTTTAAATGAAACATTAAGTCCCTGTGTGCTGTCTGGTGTCCTGTGTTCCTGTGTCCTGTGTGGCCTGGGTTCCTGTACGTGGTGCAAGACTTCGAAGGCGTTGAGCAGAGACGTGGGGGACAAAGCCTGAGCATCCCTGATGGACAACCCTGCAGACCACACACACTGACCAGTTGTCTCCAGGGGCATGGCCTGCTTGGCCCTGGGTTCTCTACCCCAAGATCAGCCAGGCGGAGTGATCTCACCCCAAACAGATGATGGAGCTCTGTGGTGCAGACAGCAATGGCCCTAGTGGCCTATGATTCTGGGAAGGCACTGTGGGTGGCCCCAGAGATAACCAGTTCCCATCCACCAGGGGACATCAGGGTGCCTGAGGGGAAATTGTGGGACAGACCATTCTGCAGTGGCATTTGTCTCTGACAGCTCTTGCCCTCCAGGTTAGAATCAGAGCCATCCTCAGGGTGGCCAGGGGACCTTCCTACTGACTGGTGCAGGCCATCTCCCCAGACTGCCCCTGCAGGATTGGCCCTGGTGGTTGGCTGTTCTATCTCTGGCCACCTGGGGGCACTGTTCCCCCAGAAAACCAGCTGCAGCTTCAAGTTCTCCAGAAGTCCTATCGCTTCTGGTGATGACCTGGGCTACACAGGCTCAGAGTGGCAATCCCCGTGCCCATGGTAGCCGCTGAGCCAGGTCTACTTACCCACACACCTTCCCAAATGCACTTGCTGACTGCTATTGTACCTGCCTCCCATCCTTGAGTCTTCCACAGTGATGTGGATTCAGTGACAGGGGCCCCAGTGTACTAAGGCTGGCTTTGTTCCCAGGAGGATTCCTGGATGATTTGGAGGACCAGGTTAGACAAGGAATGAGGACCAGGAACCAATGTCAGGTAGTCTGGTCCTTACCAGGCCTTCATACACCCATTCAAAGCAGCAGACCTGTGTCTCAGTACAGGTAGGGGAGGCAGTAATGGTCCTCCTGGATGGTTGAAGGCACCTGGGTACAGGGAGGTTCCTACTTGCCTTTCCCCCACCCAAACCCCCATATCACTGCTCTCTAGCCCCCTGGCTTCTGCTCTGGGCCAGCCCCACTTACACCTGGGTGTCCACAGCTCACAGTGTGGAAGCCACTGGCCCCCAGTGAAGGCCCTGCCAGGGTGGGGCCGAGCCTGGTATCGAGGAGTCCGCACACAGCTCCACCTGCATCTCATCTGCTTGCTTAGGGCCCGAGCCTGGCCTTGGGCCACTGCCCTCGGCACGTGACCTAGTTTCCTGGCGCTGCCATCTCCCTTAGACCTAAGTCACCTGACAGGGCAAGTGGTACCTTCCTGCCCCAAGCGTGGGAAAGCAGTGGGAACTCCATGATGGGAGAGCTGGGACTGGAGCTTGGCCCTGCCCCCGCCCCTCCTGGCACCACAGCATATGGGGCAATGGGTACTGAGTGACAGATGAGACTGCCTCTGGAGCAGGCGGAGGAATCTTGGGCACTTCCTATGTAGGCACCCAGCCAGAACCTGGGGCTCCCCCCAAAGACAGGGTTTCTCTGTGTAGCCCTGGCTATCCTGAGACTTGCTCTGTAGACCAGGCCGCCCGACTACCTGGGACACTCTAATTCAGCAGAGACCCAGGCTCATGGACACCATGGGCCTATGTGGATTGAGCAAGCCAGAAGTAGGTACCTGGGAAGTGTTTTCTGCTGCAGTGAGCAGCGGCTGGGTGCCCATCCCCAGCTACTAGGAGAGAAAGTCGCCATGTGACAGGGTCCAAGCAAAGGAGGTTTTTTATTAGGGGGAGGGATCATTAAAAGGGGAAAAGAGAAGGGGGAGACCGGCCTCTGGGGACAGGAGCAGTGGGAGAGAGGATGGGAAGCAGGCAGGACCCTTTTAAAAGAGACGTAGTGAATGTGCACAGGTGGTGCTCTTAGCGGCTGCAGATGAGGGCGTATCCTGTCAGAACCCCAAGAACAGCCCAGTACAGATGCCTGGATGCTAACAACTACCACCTGCTATACATAAGAGGCTAGGTGGCAGGGGCAGGGTGCCCCTGGTTTAAGGAGATGGAGCCTAGAGGCAGCAGGGCTCCCAGCCTAGTAGCTTGTGCAAAGGGCAGAGGTCTGTCCCCACCCCGTGCTGGGCTCACGAGACAAGACAGGGTTGCGGGCAACGCCCAGTCCTGGGTGTGGGTGTGTAAGGTGTGCAGTGCCACTCACAAAAGCCATGTGGGTGGTAGAGGGGCTGGTGTCTCGAGGTTTGTTTGGTTTCAGGATAAGCCCGAAGGTTGACCTTGGTGTCAGCCTGGAGCCTGCAGTAGACCACACTCTATCTTCAGATTCCAAACACATCCTTCGGGAAGGTGTCTGCATTCTGCACTCAACGCCACTTCCTTCTCAGGCAGCCTCAGGGCCTCTATTCTCACTTGCTCTGCACAGGGCTGGGAGATGGCCAGTGTCCAACTGCATGGTAGAAGCTGTGTCTTAAGCAAAACCCAAACCAAGGAGAGGAGATGAGATTCAGCTTGGGTTTGTGAGCCCGGATGCTGGAAGGGGTACAAGAGTTAATCACGGCCTTGAACCTGAGTCCAGAGGGACAGCTAATGCTCAGCTCCATGCCCAGCCAGTATCCCTGGTATACAGAGAAAACTGGCAGGAGCTGAGGTCATCTCTAGGCCACTCTGGTCTGTTTCCCCTCTCGTTGTGAAGGGCAATGTTCACACTTTCTTACAAGGCTGCAAGGCTGAGCAGAGCAGCTGAAATTCTGGGGGAGAGGCGGGGCCAGGTAAAGGGTGCCCTGCACTCCATGTTCACTAAATAAAGAGACCTGTCTATGCCCCAGATAGCCAGGCTGTTGAGGGCAGGGCCCAGGGAGGGCTCCTGCCTGTACATGCACCAAACTGACGGCTTCCATAGTTCCTGGAGGACAGCCTGCCCCCAGTTCAGAGGGAGCCACAGTGTAGCCTAGCTGAGATGGACAGGCCTGTGGTGGGGTGGCTGCAGGGTCCCTGCCAGTGAGGGACTGTCCGGTGGAATTAGGGTCTGGACAATATCAGGCCAAATGAAGACAGACACACAAGGGGTGTAGAAGGACCCAGAGCCAGAGACCCCGACCCAGACCGTGTCCCCCACTCCTGGCTTTGCCTCCTCCCCACCATCAAAACCCCAGAGGTCTGTCTGCTGTTGTGCACCTGATGGACCACAGGACAACCATGTTCTGGAGAGAGTCTGGGGTCAGCATCCTGCGTGGGGAAGTCCCCCCAGGAGACCCAGGCTAGACTCAGGTCTTGCCAGCCCATTAGCCTTTGATTCTGAGGAGGAAAAGAAGGTGGTTAGAGGACCAGGTCCCAAGCCCACTCCCTTCCCTGTGGCTGCTGACTGTGCCTGACTTGGGGTGTGGTGTTGTCATGGTGATGAACATACCTGCTTCCTCCTTGGCATTAAAAAAGCCTTTAGGTTTCATTGTTAGCCCTGGGCAGCTGTGACCCACACATGGGGATAGAGCTCTGGTCCCCCCACACCTGGGAGGCCCAGGGATACCTGGGAGGCCAGGTAGACAGAACACGGGGACCCATGGTGGCTCAAGGTCGAGCTTGTGGATGGGCACCTGAGAACTGGGAGGTTCTGGGTACTCAAGCCTTTCCCTCCCCATTTCTTCCTGAGGGCAGCCAGGAACTCTGACTCAGTTAGCCTGTTCAGGTAGGCTAGGGTCATGCCAAGTATCTGCAAGTGCCTCCTGGGACGGCAGCCCCTTCCCTCCTGAGCGGTGATCTGCTAGGAGGACGAGAAGGCTCAGAAGTCCAGGATTTCTCCCCTTACCCCTGCACAACTGTAGATCTGAAAGTACAGTTTTTCAGCTGTTGGCTGCCTTGGGCTTGCTGGGTCAGTGGCTTACTGGAAGAAAGAGAAAGTCGCATGTGGAAGGGACCTTAAGGGGTGACGAGAAGCTGGGTGTGGTGACGCACACCTTTAATCCCAGCGCTTGAGAGGCAGAGGCAGGTGAGGTGCAGGCCAGCCTGCTCTACAAACTCAGTTCCAAGACAGCCAAGGCTGTTACACGGAGAAACTGCCTCAGAAACAACAACCAAAACAAAACAAAAGCAAACAAACAAAAAAAAAAACCAAAAAACCCACCCCTCCTAAAACTAAAACAAAACAAAACAAAACAAAAAACAGAAAAAGGGGGGATGAAGAGGGGTTTCCCAGATAAGTTCTTCAACACATTGATTTCTGTTGAGGACTCGGGAGTCTCACTGACCCTGTGGGCATTTGCCCAGGGAGCAGTCTGATCCTGTAGCTCCATGAAGGGAAACTAGGAACCAGAGGAGAGAAAGGTCAACTAGTAGAAGCTATGTCCTCCTTGAGACAGGAAGATGTCACTTAGCAAGGCTTGGCCTCACTCACCCAAAGTCAGGGTCACCCAGAGAGTGGGGCTGGTCCAGGGCAGGAACTTCTGCAATGCCCAAGACCCCACCAAACCCTAAGTAGAGGGGCCTCATGCCGACCATCAGTGGCTCTGAGTTTGGCCCCTGCTGGGGTCCTGGGTCCTGGGAACAGAGGTAATGGGGACTGTGCTGGGTCCCTGGTCTTCTCATCCATGGTGGTAGTACAGCAGGGCACCACAAGGTTCCTGTGGAGACCTCTGGGTGTGCTGGGTAAGGTGTGTCCCTCTGGGAACTGAGGAGTCACCCAGGAAGTCACCTTGGAGGTTGTTGGCCAGGGTTTGGGCCTGCTCTTCTCTCCCTGGCTGGCCCTCAGGCACACTTTTGGGCCACAAGGAGGCTGTGGGGAAGATACACGTGGTGTGCAGAAGAGCTTCTGGTGCTACGTGAACAGAGAGGGGATGTAATTTGACAGGGCCACACAGCCAACAGCACAGGCCAGCTCCCTCCATCCACGGGTCCTGCTGCCCTCAGTACTGAGTACTGTTTGCTCTGGGTGTAGAGGGTCGGGCCCTATTACAAGAGGTTCCTATCAATGGTATGAAGAGGATTAATAATGTATTTATAGCACATCGTTGTGGTTGCTCAGAATGA